TTTTCCCTTAAGATATGGGTGGGGCGGGAAAAGCTACTCATTTTTTAAGGGAAAAGCCCTGGGACGAGGTTACCCTTGGATGCTATCTTTAGGGAACAGGCCTACAACAAGTCGAAAAGCTGGCTACGCCCCTGGTGTCACAAAACTCCTTTGTTCAAGATTTATTTTGAAACTTTTTTGTTTGAAGTGCGATATGAACAGGATTTCTGCCAAATTTCGTCAAATGTTAATGAGTCATTTGTATCCATTGCCTATGAAAATCAAGAAAAAATTAGCCTGCGTAGCAAGCGTTTCCAGTAGAGATATAGCGCGAAAGTTGGAGCGGGAGCAAAAAAAATGGAATGGGGAGGAGGAGGGGGAGGGGGAGGGGGAGGGGAGAGGGATGGGGGGGGGTTGCGGGCAAGCGTTTCCTTCTCTCCCCTCCCTCTCCCCCGTCATTCCTTTTTTTTTTTTGCGCTCGTCCCAACGTTCTCGACAAACTCGCGCGGAAACGCCTGCTACGCAGTCTAAGAAAAGATAAGAGCTCTCACATTGCTGTACACGCAATGTGTCAAAGGCGACGAAAGGAGAAAAATTTTCTACAGACAACTTCTGGGCATATATCCCAGCTTGACTGCGCACTGTTTTTCTTTAAAAGGTTATTGGCTGCATGTCTCCTTATGATAAGGATATTAACATACACAGAAAAGGCATAAAGCATTTATAGAGAAACTGTGTTCATCCACCTTAATTGCCTCAGGTAGACTAAGGCAAGTCTCAGTTTCAGCGAAAAGATAAAGGGACGTGAAAAAAAGGAAATGTGGTCGAGTGTCTTTCTCTTTACAGGCCTACTTAAAAAAGGAAGATAAAAAAAAAATGAAGAAAAGGGCCGGTAAACAGACCACTGACTTAATTTACACGTTGGTTACCTACCAGTTGTCATCAAATGCAAAAAATTATAACCTAATACGCTTTAGTAAAAAAAACTAAGGAAATTCTATTCAAGCCAAGTAAACATCGACCTATAAACAATATTTTCCAGCACGGCCGTTCGTTCGTAAAGTAAAGTGAAGATTCATTAAGATGGATTGGTTTTTACGAAGTTGCATGTTAACATCGATCAAGGCAGAAAAAAAGGTAGTTAACCAGGGCGTGAAATAGACTTTTTGGTAAGAGCCACGCAGTTCAACAAAAAACTAAACCAAACGAAAACAACTAGAACCAAAACAACCAGGAAATAATGGTTTGCTAAATATTATTTATGAGCTGAGACAGTTTGAGACCCTCTAAAAGTCGGTACGAAATTTTAACCTTAAAGATTGGAGTTAATCTACTTGAAAACCAAGATGGTGTTCAAAGACACTGAAGACAGAACACTTTCCTAGTAAATTATGTGCCAGTTTTGTATGCCAATCGCGGCAACAGACATTGAGCTGCAGTTTCGCGTCATTTTATCTCGCGATTTTGACCCAAATTCTTGTTAAGCCCAGGCTTATAACGGCTTAAAGGCAGCTACGCTTATTAAAAATGACTCTCGAGTGGTCTTAAAAGTGAGATCCCATCACTCAGACGGCAAGAAAACTATTTTCACAGAGAAACGGCTATAAACCATGAAGATTGTTACGTTCTTGGTAGCATTGTTTTCTAGTTTGAACGTGTGTCAGCAGCTTAGCAATGTACTTGTGGCTAAAAATGACTAAAAATGACTAAAAATGTCAAATAGCTGACTGATGTAGGTTGAAAATAATAGTGGAACCACGCCGCACCCTGGAGGAACGCCGAAAAATAAGTGGAGCCAATTTGAACATGTTTATTGATATAACCGCAGAGAATCACAGTTAGGTTTATCAACGCTATAAAACAACAACCAGACTTACGCGATCTAGGTTGCACGTTAGTCGCTTTGGTAGCGGCCTGCGTGTAACGCTTAATACATTAAGGACAATAAAAAACAAAAGATGAATTGGTCTCCGGCCTCTGCCGCACCAAAAACTGCTGGAAGGTTTTGACAAACGAAAAAACTACCTACTGAATGGGCGTTTATAAGTGATAGCTTGAGACTAATAAAAGTCATAAATATAACAAGACAGGAAGTAGAAATCCACGATCATCACTCAGACGCTAAGAAAACCACTTTCACGTACGTCGGAAACTGCCATTAACAATGAAGACTGTTTTGCTCTTGGGGTTTTTAGTCTGCGTGATTTATACTGCTGTGGAAGCTCAGTTTATTTCTCAATCTCTATCTGACTAGTATCTTATACACAACCGGCCTTTCTTATGACTCTGCGGGGCATCTTGAGCTTTATCTTTGCTCGGGTAATCTGAGGATAAAGAGTAAAGGTCAGTAAAGAAAAAGGCCTCTCAATACAAGAAAACATCATTTACGAAAAGATTAACTAAAACAACTTGATCGGCGGAGGGTGATAAATCTATGATCAGTAGGAAAGGTTGGCAACACCAAACTGTCCGGTTAAAAGTCAGGTATATATTTCCACTCGATTTCAAATACATATGCAAAAAGTTGGACTGGGATTGTTTGATTCCTCGCAGCTTTCCCACTTTATTAAAATCCTCTTCTGCAATTCAAGGAAATATTTACTAGTTTACAAAACTAAAACTCGCAAGAACAGTTAGCTGGTTTAAAAAAAAATCGCACCCTGCAAATTTACATTGATTTGTAGACACAGAGTAACTTTCAATTTGTTGAAAGAGGAGTATCTCACTTCTGTGTGCTTTACCCTCCCAAAATTCCTTTTCATCAATCATCGATCGATTTAACGACGTACAACTTATTTACCCTCTGTCCGCTGTTACATAAGAGAGATTCTTATCCTTGGCATCATCTATGGTCACAACTATCGATAATAAATAAAAGTAACTGAAAAAGTCATACTCTCACGAGGTTTGTACGAAGGGCATAAAGCCATACGTGAACTCGTTTTCATGGTCTCACGAACGTTTCTTTGATGGGGTGTGTCACACTTTTAAATAAATAAACACGGTGAAACAAAGGATGAATTGGCCTCTCTCTGCTGCACCCGTAACTACTGGAAAGTAATTGCAACAAAAAAAAAGTTAACGACTGAATGCATGTTTATAATTTATAATTTGGTGCTAATAAAGACCATAAGAATATTACTAGAAATCAACAGAGGACAACTGCCATCACGTTAGAGGGTAAAAGGACCATTCACGCTAAAACAGCTTTTTACAATGAAGATTGTTATGTTCTTGGGGTTGTTAGCTTGCCTGTTTTGTACCGCTGTGAAAGCTGATAAAGGAAAAGAGGGTAAGCTCTTTTAATTTTCATCTCGTTCGTTTTGTGAAGGCGCCGTTTCTTTTAATAGAGAACTTTATATTCGAAGACGAGAACGACAACGGTTTCGAGATTTGACAGGAAGTTTTTTCGCAAATTCGCAAAAAATAGACATCCCGGAAAGCTTCATTGTACTTTTGATTCACCAAAAAAGTTAGCACTGTTATCTTTATTGAAGGAGGTTAAGCCCTCTCCCGATAGTTAAAACTTCTATTATTTGACAACTTGTTTCCGCCATTACGACATTCTAGCTAAAACGCGTCGTAGAATGACAACCGCTACCACGTTTTTTTCTGCCAAAATGACGCTGGTTCACGCGCGAACACTTCTAAGTATTGAGACAATCTCTTAGTCGTAGTCGATCTCGTCTTCGAATCTAACGGTGTCTGTTAACAAACCGGCACTACAACTTTCGTTTATCTAAATCTCTTCGTAAAAGGTGTTTTCGTGAATCAAGAGATTTAACTTTCTCTTTATTCTCAGCTGATTCCAGCAAAGATCAAACTCAAGATGGCGGGAGCCACAAGCTAGGTAGGATTTTTCGTTCCTCATACATAATATACTGGCCAAACTGCGTAGTTGTCTTGGGTGTGGCTATTGTTTCCAGTTGGTTTTTATATCATGGATGGCAGTTTTTTAGACGTCCTAAAAATCCCTTTTTTTGGTGGGGAAACAGAACGTTATATTCCAATTCCCTGATCTTTAAACATCTTTAGTACTCTCTTAAGTCACTTAATTAAATGGTAGGAAAAAAACGCCTCTTAAAACCAACTGCCCTTATCTTGCCCTTATCTTGTCAGTTAGCATGGAAATTTATCGCAAATCTACCTTGATCTTTCTTAGCTGCTCTCCTCTTTTCCCTGGCTTTCGTTTTGTTAACCTCTTTATCGCCTTTCTTTGCTACGGAATTGTGGCTGGCTAACTTTCTAGGAAAGGACGAAATTTTATCTATAAAGAGTACAATTGGTAGTCAATGTTTTGCCAAAAGTTAGCCTGTATTTTGTGTTTAACTCTCTCTCTATAAATAAAGAATAAAACACATGTTAAAAACGTTTTCAAAGTAAAATTTGGAATTGACGCAACAATGGAATCTCCCATAAACTAACGACCAGACGCTTAATGAATGTTTATCATGACCGAAAATGAGTTTTGGCTAAAATTGTTGCTTCTAAAAACTTTGAAAACTAAAGTTTTTATTTGCCAGTTATTTTCACTTTCTGTTAGAGTGCACTTCAGAGGAAGCCCAAGAAGTAGGTTGTCTACATGGAGGATCCTGTTTTGCTGTCGAAATCGCGGGAGTAAGGCATACAGCTTGTCATTGTACAGCAGAGTTTACAGGCAAAAGGTGTCAATATCAGGCGATTGATCCAGAGCTTCTTAGCAGTGGACACTAAATTCGTTCTGAACAAACTCGATTGCTAAGTTGTTCATCGAAATTGTCATGTCGTTGATTATACTTACCTCAGGAAATAAAATAATGATAAACGAGAGTGAACTAAGGCTGTTTATGAGTTTTAAAGGTCTGTTGTTTGGTTGACAAAAACTCAGAAAAGCATTTATTTGTTGATTCTTGTTGGCGAAAGAATTAATAAGCGTTAACTCGCCTGAGATTAATAATCTCTGAGTCGTGCCGAAATTATGCAACACGCCAGTTCTATTTCCTGCCGCTTTCATTGTCCAACATATTGTTTCAGTTTCGGTTTACTGATTCTTGGCACCCAAATCGTGCACATATTATGAGGACGAAGTCAAACTAACTCTTCCTACCACGAAAAACAATTGTTCACTTTACCTCCACCGCCACGACCACCACAACGTTTGTATTGTTTTCCCTCCACCACTTCCAACACACCATTTCTATAATAACTGTTTCCACACCGCTACCACCACTATCATCACATTTCTATTGTTTTCCCTCCACCACGATAACCACCACCACTTTTCTATTTTTTCCCTCCACCACTACCACCACCACCACCACCGCACTAACAGCGAGACCTTCATCGATCTTAAAATAACTAGTCAAGAAAACCTTTCCAACGGCTTAAACCACGTAAAAAAATAGCACATGACCATATCGTAAAGAGATTCCTCTGCTCTTTATTCATGAGATAAAGAGAAAAGGCTACGACGTCATTGGCGTTGAAGTATTCCACTTCAGACTAATGGATTCCACTTCAAAAAAAGGCCTAATATAGATTTAGCCAGGGCTAAAAGCGAAGCTCTCGATAATATCTATAGTTCGTTCAAACAAAATATAAAATCGTGTAATGCTTAGCGGCGAAGGCAACGCCGCAGAACGGTCTAATTAGCAAAAAAGCAACTTCGCACGTGCAGCACAATTTTTTGTACGTTTCTTTGCCATTGTTTTGCGCGACTACAACGTGAAAATTCCAGAAACTTCTTAGTTACACTTTTAATGGCGGAAATGTTGTACGTGTTCTCGTTCACTTTTTTCAACGGCCGCTCATTTTCACTTTGCATTTGATTGGTGGCCGCTAGCATTTCTCATTTTGTCACCGCCGCTACAAAATTTTCATGTTAGTCTTCCAACTAAAAAAAAATGTCTCCTTTGTTTATTATCTCTTGCTCCAGATCTCTGTCGCCCTTTTTCTCGTTGAGTTTCCCTAGCCCTCCGCCTACTTTCTCCTTTTCGCTGTCATTCTTTTGCTGTAGATTACAAATTTGTGGACAGGAGAATTAATTTAAACTTAATACTTTAGACAACACGGTCTTTATTGACTCTTTAGTTGTCTCTGCTTTACAAGACGCCGGTGGTTATGCGGTTTCTCGCCAAAATAACCTTGAAATGCATTTGGGTTGCCGTACCTGTTGATTGAGTTATTTTACATAGGTATGCCTGTGGTGTGGACGGACGGTCGCTAGGTGTACGGTCACGTGATTACCAAATTTTCTGGGATGGGTAGATTACTTCATTTTCTTACCCATGATGCTCCGCTGCGCGCGTGAGAGCCTCGCTAATAAAGGCTTAGCCTGCGAGCAAGCTCTCCTATTTGGGCGAGCGAAGCGAGCCGTGCGAGAACGCTTGAGCGAGCGGCGAAGCCGCGAGGGGCCGGCCCCTCGCTCGCGCGTCCTCGCGAGGCTCGCTTCGCTTGCCCAAATAGGAGAGCTTGCTCGCAGGCTAATAAAGGCTACGAGTCCTCAGCTTCTACGTTTGCAGGAATGAAAATGATCAGTAACGTTTAGTTCATTGGCTCAGTTACGCTGTAATCAGAATGATATGCTTGAATACAGGTGGAGCACGGTTCTATAATCAAAGGTGATCATATGCAAACTCCCTTCAAGTTGGCGGCAAAACTTTGAAAAGCTTCGAAGAGTGAAATTCTTAGGTTGCGTTGTCATTGAAGGATATCGAACTAGGACTAAAAAGTCCTATGGAAAGCTTTCCTTCCATTAATCTGCAATTGGTAGCTGGTCGAGAATATGCTTGTTCAAGACTTTGGAGCAAGATACCAAGCAAGGACAGATCAACTGCCAGTCTTAGGCAGTTTAAGACTCGGATACGCAGTCTCGATTTATGTAACATTTGAGATGGATGTAGTGGCTGCATACCTTTGCAATTCGTAACTTTAAATTTTCTTAATTACGATTTTAATTACAAGATTTTAGAATTTTGATAAGTATAAATGGAGTTTTTGTAGTTAGTGAGTTATCAATAGTAGTTTTAATTCTAACTCTTAGTAGATTCTAGTTACAACTCTATATTGATTCGTTTTGTATTTTTAGTTTATATTTTAGAAAGTTAGGTGTCCCCTATTAGCAATGGGGAATCCCCACTACTAGATTTTAGCTTGTCACGTTAATAAAGTCATTATTATTATTATTATTATTATTGAGTCAAAAGACCGCATAGTTTAAAGTACGGCCGCGGTGTGCGCCAAATGACCCTGATCTATTTGGTACCAGATTGTAAGTGTGCCATGGTTAAGTTCTATAAAGAACGTCACACTTTGCTGCTTAGCTATGACCGCAAGACCGGTTTCGGAACCAAAATATTGGATCCTTCGTCAGTTGCTTAGCTATAGCTGTTAACAAGAGTTCAACAAGAGAGCTAGTGCCGTAAACTAAACTTGAGTCTGTTCTTTTCATGTAGCATACAGAATCCAGCTAGTGATTGGTTCTTTAAACAAGAAGCTGATTGGATGATTTATCTAACCAATGTTGTGAGATCCTGAACTTGATCCTGTTTTCAGTTTCAAAGATGAACATAAAAGCGAGCAAGACTTCAAAATATAACATGTACAGATACTGAAATGCAATTTCAGTGGGCTATGCACAATTGATGTTTCCCGAGACGAAGTCGAGGGAAACATCAGGACTCGAGGGAAAACAAAACTACCTGGTTTCCCGAGGGACCTTACATTAAGTGTTTTGTTATATTTCTAGACTTTCACTTCAACAGCAACAAAAGAATAACCGGAGCGAACCAAAATAGTCGACTCGGTACTTATAACAACGCAAATTAAATTCTCAAAACCACTGAATGAATGATTTACAAAGTACTTTCCTCTTATTATCTACATCTTCTTCCTCCACTAGCTGCTGTTTCTCTTCTGGGATAACCTTAAAAATCTTTGCTTTTTAGCTTGAGGCTTTGTGTTTGTGTTGTTGTGTTCATTCACGAAAAAGAAAACTGGCAGTGTTTTTCCCGCCTTCTATTACACCACTTTCCACCATGCTTTGATTACATGCTGTAATGTAGCCCAAGCGGGGTACATTGCTTAATGTATCACGATCGCCATACATTTGATTTTAGTCAAGGCCATGTGACCAAGAATCAACCAATGGCAGTCCCTGTTTAGTCGAGTGAAAGTCTAGGAATAAAACAAAACGAACTGAACTACATAATAGCATTGGAGAGAGTAATATTAAAATGAGAGGTGGTTGTTTTTTTGAGATTGAAAGTTAAATGCAATCATTGACAACAAACTTTTTTGATAAGTAGTAAACTAGCGAGGCAAAATTCAATGAAAAACAGCAGAATCTAGATTCATACAGAAAAATGGACAACAAAACTACAAACAGAGCAAAAATGTCCAATAAACGGTGCATAAAAGCAAGATTGCAGCACTTACAGCGCGGTTATAAAGCTAGTGAAGCGACATCACGAGCCACCTGTTCTGCTTTACTTCAGCGGTTTTCCTGGCTGACTTGCTTGATTCTCCCTTCATATTTTTTTTCTCAATAACAAAATTCACTTTTCCCTAGCTAATGCTAATAATAGCGCAAAATGGTTTGAAAATGACGGTTTTTGCTCATTCACAAACAACAAACAAACTTGTGAATGGAGCTGCCAACGATTCCACCCGGGTTAGCACGCAAGATCGTAAAATACCGTCCGCTGTCGGAACCAATCAGATTGCAGGATTTGGAGGATCCCATCTGCTCGCAAGCTTGGAAAAAAAAAAATATTCTTATTAAAAAGAGGGTGTATTGAGACATTGCTGAGAGGAGAAAATGAGTCGAAGTAATCGTCTGAAATTCCGGCTAAACAAGCATACATGTTGTATTAAAATTAGGTAGACTGTATTACCATCAATGGGTGGCAAGAGTTGTTCTTGCCATACAAAATAATCCTTTTAATCGTTGGCCACCACTGCAATCACTACTTTATAAATTAATGTATGACGGAAAATTTACAGGCTACCTAAAGGCCTGTCTACAATTTTTTAACATTGTACATATCCAGGCGTAGTCAATCGATAAACCGATAATCGATATCAATCGATAGCAATCGACAACAATCGAAGATTGATATCGTTTTCCGATACCAATCGATAAAAATCGATAAAGAAATAAAGTTGTGTGTTCGATTGATATCGATTTCCGATAGAAACGATAACGATTGATTTATCGAATGTTGTCGATTATTATCGATTGAGATCGGAAAAGATTGCTGTCGTTTTACAAGTTAATCATCGACACAATGTTGTCTGTATGGTTTTATTGAGTCATTCAATCATCATAGCATGCAATAGGTTTACAATTATCAACAAAATATTATAGGAACAAAAACAATAAGAGGAACGTTTGGTCTTTTTATCGATCTTCAGCTTCAGCGCAGTTCATAATACAGGAAGAAGAAGAAGAAGTTGCGGCCAAAGTAGCGGCGTGCAACCCTCAGCTAGTCTCGTTATAGCAACGCAGCAACACCATAAAGATGAAGCAGATTAAACAACAAAATCAATGTTTTTATGATTTCAATTAGGCGCATTAAGAAAGAAACGTAAGAATAAATCACAGAGTAAGAAAGACATAAAAAAATATCCAGTAGCACAGCAATAATCACTTTAGCTCCATAAATATCGACCATATATCGCATTGAGTTGGCCGATTAAAAACGCGAGATTGCCACAAAAGACATACAGGAAGCAGTAGATAACGCTGGAATGAGTGGACATGTAAAAATATTTTAAAACGCTAGAAAACCAAGTGGGATGAACACTCCGCCTTGACTAGATGATGAAATCGATAATAAAATGCTTAACATTAAACGCCTTTCTCGTATATTCGTTTACTAGATAGCAACGCCAGTCTTCAGTAATATGTTTGAAATAAATACTCTTTTGGATTATCGACTGTTATCGATAATTATCGATTATCGATTGTTATCGATTTTCGCCAATCGATATAAATCGATAATTTTTTCTGTGAGTTCGATTGTCATCGAATACCGATATCAATCGATAGAAATCGGTGATTGATATCGATTGATATCGAGTGTATCGATTGATTTCCGATATCGATACCTATCGATTCACTACGCGTTGACATATACACATATTATGTATATTAGTTTTTTTTTATGTTACGGTGTCCCCAATTAGCAACACCATGCTAAAGTTATACGACACTTGAATAAAGTTTATTATTATTATTATTATTAAACGAAATCGTTCGTTTTAACGAGCTATCTAATTTTTTAGGGCAAAATCTCAACGATTCACCACTGTGTTTTACCCGGGTTGCGTTCAATGTATGATCAAAAGAAAGAACGTAATTTTTGCTTATCGCACAAGCACACTTCTTGAAAAAAAAACTGAATAAAATATTCCTCGAGTGCGAGACAGGCTAGAGGATATTAGAGAGATTAAGATTCACGTTTACCGCAAACGGCAAACGTCAGACAAAAAGTTGAGAATTTCTCAGAATAGAAAATAAGCAAATAAAAACATTCCCGAACGATTCTTATGGTTAAAACTGGCACAAAACTACTTATTTCTGTGTAGAAGCAATAAAGAGTAAACGGAAAATAAGGGGAAAACTTGGTCACGTGGTACAATCTCACGTCTGCCGTTTGGCGCAAACGTGAATCTTAATCTCTCTATTATTTCGTCTGCACAAGTGATGCCTACATGTTCTGTTTTCTCAATAATTTTTACTTTTTTTTCAGACACAATTTCTTTTCTGAGTTCTACAGCACAAATATAAAGGCTAGAATAGTACGTTTATGCGAGAAAAGGATAGGTCACCGCGCTTGTCGAGTAGATAACACAGACCGTTTCTTGGGTCTTTGACAGCAAGTCACCTTGTTGCGTAATATTTGAGCACGCGCTATTATGCGCAGAACAGGATGCGCAGTCCAACACTAGGGAATCACGTTAACTGAATTCTTAACTTAAATGCAATGTCAGTAGAGTTTACATTGTTTAGTTGTTATTGTCTCTATATCGTTTTAGGATATGCTGTATCTATATAATTTCCTCTAAACCCTGTCCAAACGTCCGTCAGAAAATGTAAATATTGAAGATGTCGTCATCGAAAATGGACATTATTGAGAACGCTATACAAAATAAAAACGTCGTTTTCCTCAACTCGTGAAGCGGAAAACACGAAAATTGTCCAAAATGCTATAAACGTGCCTGCTCCTGACACAGACATTAACGCGCGTAGTATTTCATTGAAAACATTGCTGACTACGTGAGGGAAACACTATACTTTGTCAGGTTGCCTGTCAAAGTTTTCCTGGAAAATCTAACAATCTATATAATTTTCCTCACGTAGACAGCAACAGCGACACTAAAAAGACGCGTTTCCCACCGTGTTTTTCAATGAAATATTTTGCGGTTTAATGTCCGTGTCACGAGCCTGCACGTGAATTTCCTCTGTTTTTTGGCGTTTTGGAACATTTTTGATTTTGTCCGCTTCAAGAGTTCAGGAAAAAGGCGTTTCCACTCTGGATAGCGTTTACCGAAATTTTTTAGTATATTAACAGCACATTAGTACACGCAGCATATTCAAAATAAAGAGATAATAACAATCAACATGTATTTACAGATTAGAGTACATATGAGTCAAGGATAAGTTAAGGATCAATAAAACATCTTCTAACTTAGACTGCAAAACAGTCGGGTTTTTTTCTCAAAATCAGTGAAGATGTCAGTAAAGCGTAGCGTAGGAGTCTTACGCGCGCGAATCGAGCGAGCCTCACACGCGGGGGGGGCGAGAGAAAAAAAAGTCTCTCCCCAGTCTCGCTCTCCGTTGTCAGCCTCATTCCAGACCTTTTGTTTGACTGCTCGCGCGTATTTGAATAGGCAAAAATACGGACTGTTTTGCAGTCTACTTCTAGCTATTTACGATTTAAGCTATATTATCTGTGCTCAGTACGAAGTTTGCCTCTTCTCAATCGAAGGAAATTTTGTAAAAGATAGCCTTTGAATAAAGGAGAAAACGGTGTATCGGGACTTTGGAATTGAAAAAAAAATCTTTCTTAAGTCTAGTTTCGGCTCTGATAAGAAGAAACAGAAGTACGCCTCCTTTGTTTTAACGATTAGTCAGATTAAATTTTGAAATTAGATATAATACTCCCTTCCTTAACCAACAAAAGCAAAATTAAAAATAAATTTTGAAAAGATTTCCTTTACAGCGGGGGACATGGGCTTTACGGTATTGAGCTTTTTTTCAAGCGGTATTTTCGATTTTACTGTGCGGTAATGCGGTATCATCTAGCCCTACGGTATGCGGTTTTTCTCCCTTTTGGTTAACGGTACTCGGTAAAAGAAGATCCTTCACGGTATTGCGGTACCATTTATTTGCGCTCTCCTGTCTAATACAGGTCAATACAATGTGCAGCACCAACCACAGTAAGCTAAACAGGCTAATTAAAGTTAATATTCCTAAGACTTTAGATTTGAGGGTAAATGATTACACATTCTACGGTGAAATTGGAAGGGAATCCAATGAACGGGCTTTTCGATCGTTGTACCGATCAAGGGGCGCGAACCATTCAACCAAAACTCCGACCGGTCCGACCGGGAAAAGTGGTCCACCTCAAAAGATGGACCAGGTTTTTCGAAACTTTTCCGGTTAGCCTAACCGATAGAACGAACCGATAGATTTAGTTTTAGACCGAAATTTTCGGAAATTTTGGTTGAATGGATCGCGCCCAAGGTCTTCTCACGTTTTCTCGCAATGTCTGAGGTTGTTCTGGTGCATACATGGTGGAGGTAAACAAACACGCGAGATGGATACAGCTTTAAGTAAACGTGACCGATCGTAACCGTGGTATCGGTATTTGGTCGATTTTTGACACAGTATTTCGGTATTTGCCAATCTTTCTTACGGTATTGCGGTATTGGATACCCTCCAACGTCCCCCTCTTTCCAGGGATATCTAAGCTTTCTTCAGTAGTAGAAACATTCCACAGCGCTGAAACCAAGTTTATCTTCCCTTATTTGTTGTGATATCTTCTGGACACATCACTCCTCAGATGATATAAAAGAGCAGTTGTTTTCACTGTTTTATACAGTTCCATTTTGGGATATCAGTGCGGACCACAGAGCTAGAGAAAGACCCTCAGTCCAGAAAAAACTTTACCGAGATGGTAAGAGAATTTAACTTCACGTCAATTTGCCCATTTAAACGGTTTCATTACGAAGAAGATCCTGTCATGTATGGTTTTGAAAAATAATATCTGTTATTTTGGCTATCATAAGCTTCGTATGTAGCAACAACCCGTAGCAGCAAATGACATTTCTTTTTAATGCCAGGGCTTTCACGCCATGAAGGTAACCTAAGGAATTGGGATTTAGGCTTTGCGTACACCGTGCAATACGGTAACACTTTCTTTTCGTTCCTTCAAATTCTATCAATTAACACTATCCCTTATTGTCTACAGTTCAGTGAAGTCAGGTTAGAATACTAATTTTTCTATCTCGTAAGGTTTCAAAAGTAATAGCGACTGGTCTATACAGGGATGAAGGAAAGCATACATGTTCTTAGCCGGCGCTCGTTAATAAAATTGATAAAGAAACTTGTTAATGACAAGGGTCGAATTCAAACACAAATTTGCACAGAAAGATCAGGAAAGGAAAACACGGAAGGAACTCACGGTTATAATTCAACTGTACTAAATCGCTTTTATTATTTCACCAGAAAATCAAGTTGTTCTTATCTTGTCTTGCTCTGCTGGCTGTCATCGTTCAGTCCACCTCCTTTGTCGTGCAGAAGAAGGTAAGACTAGTATGAGAAATCGTTACTTCCTAGTTGTGTTAATAATGTTAACAGGGTCTGGAAGGGGGGGTCCTGATCCCACATTCCCGCCCCTTTTTCGCGAGAATCCCGCATCCCCCACATTTTTCATCAGTTTCCCGAATACCGCTTTTTTTCCTCAGAAAAATACATTAAAAAGTCTAATTTCTACAAAAGCTAATAAATGTAAGATGTAGGTTGATCCTTTCAATTGATATTTTGAATTTACGCGTGTTTTTAAAGGTTTCCGGCATTCCCAACAGACACACAAACATAAATCCCACATCCCGTGCCCAATTTTTGGCGAGTCCCGCTTCCCGGGGAACAGTCAAATCCCGGATCCCGTCAATATATTTATCGTTTTCACGATTCCCGCACCGTATTTTGGTCAAATCCCGAATCCCGAAAATACCCTTCCAGACCCTGTGTTAAGATTTGACACTTTTGTAATGTAGGCTATTATTAGGGGCTTGAAATCTTCATCTTCCCTTTTGAAATTTTTAACAATAAATGTATAAAGAGCTTCGTTACTGACCCGTTTTCAGATTTTCCCTTTTCTTGCTGTTGATTTTAATTGCCCCAACTATTACAACCAGCCGCCGGATTTGCAGGTTAAAGTTTAACTGCACTAAATACCGCCCTTTCAACTAAATAATGTTTCATTTTTTCGTGACAATGTATAAAATTTTTGTAACTTACTCACCACTTTTTACAGGACTCCGTGATAAAATACTCACTGAAGTTGTCGAGCGGCAATGGGGAAGAATATGACGAAAACATCGAAATTGACGCTGAAAAGGAAACAGAAACGTTTCACGTACCAAAGACTTCGCCTGATGAAGAAGCAGGAGATATAGTCTACGACTTTAAAAAGGTAATAGAGTTTTATTTTCACTCTTGGAGGAAAGCGCTGTGCATATAAGCGATAGGGATTAGCGTCCTTGGGAGTTTGTAACCTGTTTCGGATAATTATGAATTATGAACCGAAAGTACATGATTCAAAGTGGTCTTAAAATTCATCTTTGCAATATAATTGCCTTTGACGTTCGTGCCATCTCCGTCTTTTTTTCAGATTTCAAGATTTCTTCGGTCTTCTTTAAGACTTTCATACTTAAGATTAAAAAACAAACAAACGAACACCAAAAATAAACAAACAAGCGAACAAAAAATACAAAGCAAAACCAAACTAAAACAAGCCAAAACGCAAACGATTTGTAAAAGAAGAAGACTGAGAGTTAGCAGCCCCATTGAAGCGACGTTTCTAATCATTTCCAAATAAATGCTATCTGAATAGGGTAATTAATGCATAAAAGCCTAGCAGATTTACTTAATGACCCTTCTATAGGGGTCAGGCTAAAGTTCTGCGTGAGATATATTTTTTAAACAAAAGTTTTAACTAGTTTATTGAACACGATAAGTCATGCATCTTAAATTAAATCTCAACAGATCAGTAAAGTTTACTGAAGCGCCAATATAAATCAGAATTTAAAACCTTTGAACAGTGTGAACCCTTGCCGAAACTATTCACCAAAAATATTTCTTTTTTTTTCTTTTTTGATCAACAAACGATATGGCACTTTAACGTAAAAACGTCACTTTGCTAGCAGAATTTCTTTAAAATGTTTTTGACGAGACTGTGATCTCCACGCACAGCCAACGCTAACCGCCTCAGAGGCTTGGAATTAGTCCATTGACTCAACAAAACGGCCAAAATACTCCATTCACTAAAATGACGTGAAAGTTCGCGTGACAGTGAGAATGTGACCTCCAAGGGGTGCTGGTTGTCGATATAGATTTAATCATTCTACTTAATTCCATTTTTTCCTGCAGAAAATGACAATGATACGCTTGCCAGCAGCAAAGGCTTGCTATTTGACCCATTCAACTGATGACGCTCTCAAGCCCGCCGACTTAATGAAAGCTTTAGCATTGGTAAGTGCCATATACAGTTAAATCACCTTTGTGATTCAAGCCAATTGGATCATCAGGAAGTTTACGGGATAAAATGCTAGCTCACAAAAACCATTAGTTTTCCACCGCGGCTGCCCTGGTGTCTGGATTCCTATCGCTTTAATGCTTGTCTTTCTTTTATGGTTAGGTACCTCCTAAAACAGATGGAGGGTTGCCAAAGGCTCGAACTGACATAAACCTAACAGTTGTAGGAACTCTTGAAGACCGATCAAAGCTAAGTGATGAAATGGCACGTTTGTGTGCCAAGCTGCCAATCTACGCAGTGGTGAAAGGAGACGTAAATCCCTTTGACTTCAGCGAAACAAGACAAACACCTAACCCGGAAAATGCTCTGAAAGCACGTAAGTGATAGTGAATAAAGCTGAATAAGAAGTTTGGCCTCTGTTACGACACAGTTTACAGTGTTTGCTCAGTCAAATGAGAACAAGGTGCATGCTCGTATAAAAATGCTTTATAAGTCGGCTTTACGATAGTCTGTAAAACTTAAATAATTTCGAGTCCATTTTAGTTTGAGAGGTTTTAAAACTGACTCAGCCACAAGCAGTTAGAGCCCTAAATATATTAGTTGTTAAAGGAGCTGTGTCACGGCAGTCCAGTTCATTTTGTTAAATTTTGCCAATTACTCTTCCTCAATCGCTATGGAACTTAAAGTAAGCAAAGACATTACATGTAAATGACAAAATCAGAGATCCGTGACAAACAAATATGTCTCCTGAGCATTATTTTTGAAGTTGCAAGCAGCAGGGATCAACTTTGAAAAACTGTTAGGTCAGCGAACAGTTTTCAAAAACCCTAATTTCAATCCGTTTTAATCTTCTTTAGTTTTGCCCATCTGTGGCATCTGTTGTTTTAACCTTCCTTTAAAGTTTTAAGCGGTTATTTTTATGTTTCTCTTAATTTAACGGGCATTGTTTAATTTCCTAATTTGGCTGAATTTCGTGACACAGCTCCTTTAACGGTAAAGGGATGCAATACTTACACTAAGTGTGCTGTGCCTTGTTTTCTTTCCTTAGGTAAGAAACGACAGTTCCTGAGACGTGTTTGTAACAGGGTGTGTGATTGGGCATCTAACAGAGTTTGCAATTGGGTGCCAGATAGTTGGGGAAGGACGAAAAGGGTGTGTCACTTCATCCGGAGACCGGTGTGCAGATATGTTTGCTCTGGGTAAACCCTTCCGAGTTTACAATTTTTGCTTTCAGCCAAGTGATAGATTAATTCAGAAATTGTTATTGATCACTTAATGTGATATATTTTTTTTGGATTGTAGAGAAAGTCAACAATGTTAAAATAATATACTTATAGGCTTGAATACCTGGATATCTACTTGGTGGAGTTTCTTTTTTTCTGCTTTTTTATTTTTTATAATTTTTAGTTTTAGTTTCTTATTATTGTTTTGATAAGCCGTAATGATGCACATCTTAAGAAGGAAGCTATGTGAAAACTAAGAATTTAAATGGAGGAATATGTAGTGGCCGCGGAAATATATTTTGTGCTCGGTTTGTAAGCCAATTAAGTAAACTTTCAAATGAACGTACTAAAGTAAATTACAGAGGAAATAAACACACTTGGTTGAGAGTAGAATACGGTGTCTGTCATTTCAATCTTTGGTGGTTATACACCTTTTTCATAAATGGCGGGTCTAATAGTTCTTCTTTTAGATGCATGTAAATGAGCCTTCCCAGCCTCGTCAACATGAGTAATAATAAAAGGATTTTCACTCCAAAACGAGGCTTGGACGGTTTTTTTGCATTTACACAAAGGAATAAAAATTGTACCCGCCATTTTTGAAGGGATCTATGAGTCTGAGCCGAGGCGATGAAAGAATCTATGGAGTAAGACGTTCCGTGTTTTGCCCAGTACTGGAGAAAGCACTTTCTGGAAAATGGACAGTCTGAAATTTCTATTGCAAATAAGATTTTCTGGCTATACGCCTTTCGGTTTTATTTAACGTACGCGTTTTGTTTCCTCTTCTATCATCGTTTCCATTTCAGTTCACGTAAACGTTCCCTTTACGTTTCCTTATGCATGTATTCGCGCTTGCGTCTCTACTTCAGTTCACGTATGCGTTCCGTTTGCGTTTCACTTCCATTTTGTGTTCCCTACGTGCGTTTCCATNTATTGTTTTGATAAGCCGTAATGATGCACATCTTAAGAAGGAAGCTATGTGAAAACTAAGAATTTAAATGGAGGAATATGTAGTGGCCGCGGAAATATATTTTGTGCTCGGTTTGTAAGCCAATTAAGTAAACTTTCAAATGAACGTACTAAAGTAAATTACAGAGGAAATAAACACACTTGGTTGAGAGTAGAATACGGTGTCTGTCATTTCAATCTTTGGTGGTTATACACCTTTTTCATAAATGGCGGGTCTAATAGTTCTTCTTTTAGATGCATGTAAATGAGCCTTCCCAGCCTCGTCAACATGAGTAATAATAAAAGGATTTTCACTCCAAAACGAGGCTTGGACGGTTTTTTTGCATTTACACAAAGGAATAAAAATTGTACCCGCCATTTTTGAAGGGATCTATGAGTCTGAGCCGAGGCGATGAAAGAATCTATGGAGTAAGACGTTCCGTGTTTTGCCCAGTACTGGAGAAAGCACTTTCTGGAAAATGGACAGTCTGAAATTTCTATTGCAAATAAGATTTTCTGGCTATACGCCTTTCGGTTTTATTTAACGTACGCGTTTTGTTTCCTCTTCTATCATCGTTTCCATTTCAGTTCACGTAAACGTTCCCTTTACGTTTCCTTATGCATGTATTCGCGCTTGCGTCTCTACTTCAGTTCACGTATGCGTTCCGTTTGCGTTTCACTTCCATTTTGTGTTCCCTACGTGCGTTTCCATTTTAGGTCACGTACACGTTCCCTCTGAGTTTGAGTTACTTTGTGTCGTCTATCTGCGTTCCCACATACGTTCCATTTGCGTTCCGTTTCGGTGTTTCCCTTTTGTGTTCCATTTTTGCGTTCTTTTTCTTTATTCGTTACACAGTGTGCACTATCAATCCGTTCAGATTCACGTTATCGCTGTTCGTGTGTTTTTTCTTTTTTTTACCATTTTTAAAATAGTCCTTTTCAAGGCGCATTTAATTTTACCCTTTTCGCGCAATACGATGCAATTTCTGTCGCGCTGAAGTTGTATCTCCAAAAAAAAAACGACGTTTGAAGATATTTTAAAATGTTTTCAAAGTCACTCAAATCAGGAGCTCAAATAAATTAAGAAGAGTTCGATGCTTGAATGGGAACGTGTTGGAAATTTCTTTACTGGTTTATCTTAGCTTTTGACTCGAAATTTGAAGTGTCTTCTATGTACAGTGATTCCAAAAATGGTTAAATTGCGTATTGATTCAAAAAAGAAGACTGTTGTAGGAAGGAGCCATCTTAGATTATTTTCCAAGAGATTTAGCCAGGGCTAAAAGCGAGGCTCCCATTAATGAATTTATAATTTAAATCAAACAATAAACTTGTATTTCACAATTCAGTTAACTTTAGAGCACATTCGTGTGACTTTTCAGGGAAAGGCTAAGTGATTTTACAAAAAATAATTTGCAAACAGCCCAAGAGTGAA